CCGTAGAAAACGAATCCTTTCTTCAAGCATTCATTCGTACCTACCAGGTGATGTGTTATTTCTGCCATCCATTTGGAGACATCTCCGGGCCGATAAACCACTGACGCTGGCACCCTCCTTTGCTCTTCACCTTGCATTGTACCCCGTTTCCTGGATTTCAGATCCCCCACCCTTGTTTGGCTACTTCCTCATTTTGATGGACTTTACCTTTCAGTAGTTTGCTTCAGGAAGGTAAAACTTAATATATATATTACTATAGACACACATTTTTCATTGTGATGAAATATATGTAATGAAACATTTGTGATTTTAACTATTTTGAAGTAATGATTTACTGATATTAAATATACTCATCATGTTCTGTAGCCATCACCACTATCCACTTTTATGGTTCGGGGTCACCACTACATGAGAAACTGTTTTAAGGGTCGCGGCATTAGGAAGGTTGAGAACCACTGCTTTAAGCAATACCTGCCCCCCCCCCCACTCACCCAACCCGTTATTATGTTTGAACCCATTGTCGCAGCCACTGTGTCAGGCCCTCTCATCAAGAATCATCCTCTCTTTCACTGCTCGTCTCCTTTACCAAGCACGATGGGGTCCTCTTCAGAGACGGGCCTCTCCTGAAAACATGTCCAGAGGGTATGAGACAAAGTCTCGCCACCGTTCCTTCCAAAGAGCATTCTGACTGCCCTTCTTTCAAGACAGATCTGTTTGTGCATCTGCAGTTCATGATACCGTCAGTATTCTTTGTCAGCACCATAATGCAACACAGCCAACTGTCCTTGGTCTTCCTTAGTCAGTGTCCAACTTTCACATGCATATGAGGCGGTTGCAAATGCCATGGCCTGGGTCAGGTGCAGCTTAGTCCTGCAAGTGACTCTACTCTTCAATACTTAAAAGAGGTCTGAACAAAAGGAAGGTCATGTTCAGCAGATTTACCCAATGTAATGTGTCCTTTGATCTTTTGACTGATGCTTCCTTAGGATTAGCAGCTGCACATTGCCAGATTTCTCTTTGGAGAATTCCATTTTATGAGCAGTACCAAATTTGTTTATCTGTTGATGGACACACAGGTTGTTACTATTTGGGGGCTGTTGTGTATGACGCTGCAGAGAGCACTGGTGTACAATGTTCTGGTTTCTGCCTTCTAGCATTTCGGAATAGAATACCCGGAGGTGGAATTGCTGGGTCCTATGGTAGTTTTGGGTTTTGGCATTTTCAGGAACCACCGAACTAGTCTCCACAGCAGAAACCGACGAGGACTCCAATCTGTCCACATCCTCAACATCACTCTATGTGATGTTCTGATAATGGCCATCCCAGTGATGTGAATGAAGTCCTATCTCATGGCTTTGATTTCTAAGGACTTAGTGAAGTTGGGCATCTTTGCAAGTGTTAATGGTCATATGCATATGACCTTTGGAAAAATGTATGTTCAAGTCCTTTACGCATATTTAAATTGTGCTGCTTAGCTCTTTGCTGTTGAGGGAAGGGAACATTTAAGAGGCTACACACGGCATTACTCTGTCCTCACGTTTGATTGGTAGTGGGGCTAGATTGGGAATCATGCTTTATTAATTTTCCTTATTCATGCCCCAGGTCAGTGTGATTCCCAGTCTTGTTGTGTTGTGTTTTGTTTTCCTTTTCCTCTCTTGAAGCTTGTGGGAGTTGCTCTTTGTCCCTAGAATTTGTGAACTCTTTGGTGTTAAGTTTTTACCTCTCAGAGAAACTGTTAACTCAATAGAATGTAAGTTAAGCTTCATTAGAGCAAAGATTTTGATTCGTTTTGTGTACTGTTCTATCTGGAACTAGGGTTCTAACATACAACAAACCTTCAATAATTACTTGCTAAATTAGAGGCAAGGACGATGAGACCTACGTGTTGTCTTTGGGCATGTTGTCAGGAGAGAGCAGTCACTGGAGAAGGCAGGGAAAAGAGGAAGGTCCTCAAGGAGATGAATTAGCACAGTGCATGTCGCAGTGGACTCAAGCATGGGAACCAGTGTGAGAATGAGGTTTGGGG